GCACAAAATGTTTGCCTGTAATACCTAGAGCCTTTAGATGGTCAGTCATTAACAATGTTCACGAAGCCATAATGCATTTAGGGTGGAAGAAAACTCTAGACAAAATGTATGCCAACTACTGGTTCGAGAAGATGTCTAAGTATGTGAAAAAGTTTGTAGAAAATTGCATTACCTGTAGAGTGTCAAAACCACCATCTGGTAAGCTACAAATAGAAATGCACCCGATTCCTAAAGATGACATACCCTGGCACACTGTGCATATTGATATAACCGGAAAATTAAGTGGCAAAAACGACTTAAAAGAGTACATCATAGTTCAAGTTGATGCATTCACAAAATTTGTTCACCTTCAACATACGCTGAACCTTAATACGGAAAACTGCATTAAGGCAGTCAAAGAAACTGTTGCACTATTCGGAGTGCCGGCACGCATCATAGCTGATCAGGGTAAATGTTTTGCTAGCACAAGGTTTAAGGAATTTTGTTCTTCGCAGAAGATAGGTTTACACCTGATTGCGACGGGCGCCAGTCGAGCAAACGGCCAAGTAGAGCGTGTCATGAGCACCTTGAAGAGCATGCTCACAGCGGTTGAGAGTAGTCAGCGATCCTGGCAAGACGCTTTAAAAGACATACAGCTGGCAATAAATTGCACGACAAATCGTGTAACGAAATATAGTCCGTTAGAATTGCTAATCGGTAAAGAGGCAAGGCCGTTAGGAATGATAACAATATCAGATGAAAAAACAATTGATAAAGATTTAATAAGAGCACAAGCGAAAGATAACATGGTGAATAACGCTAAATATGATAAGGCTAGGTTTGATAAAAATAAAGCAAAAATTGTAAAATATAAGCTTGGTGATCATGTCCTACTCAAGAGGGAAGAACGAAATCAAACGAAGTTAGATCCCAAGTTTAAGGGACCTTTTGAGATAATCGAAATACTTGATGGAGACAGATATTTATTAAAGTCATTGACGAGTAAGCGCACGTTTAAGTATGCACATGAGTATTTGCGAGCTTTTCCAAGCAACAATGTATCGGAGGAGTTGATAGATTTGAGAGATGATGAGTGTGACAATGTTGAGGACATTGCTCAAGACACTGTGGCACTAAGAGAGAGTGCGGTTGGGCTCATACACGATGGCTAAGACCGCACCATAATACTCACGCCGTGCACAAGTGCTCGATCATGGCGTGCTGAAGCGGGTGATATTATGGCGGGGGTCAGAGGTTGAAAGACCTGTATGGATCCGCTCCATGTTATCGTTGCTGGGCAGCAAGAGCCTATAGACGTGTGATGACAGAACAACAACAAAAAAAAAAAAAAAAAAAAAAAAAAAAAAAAAATAAAACCTACAATGACCGATGATACTGCTGTTTGTAAAGCTATTCTTAAAGTAAAGTAATGACTAATAAATTTTACCCAACAATTTTGACTATGGCATGATCTAAGCGAAATGTACACACGAGGACGTGTGAAATGTCAGGAAGGCCGTGTCGTGTATCCAATAAATTATTGTGAGTATTATTTTGAATGCTAACGATTAAGTGTTAGTAAGAATCAGAGAATTTGACAGAAGGTACTGCTATTTAACATAACTGTCCTACTTGTATTAGGGTTGCTACTGAAAGCATGGTGTGAGACAAAAAAGATAGTCTCTGCCGAGCATGGCCCGAGTGTGTTGTATAACGTCCAGTTTGCTATAGTGTTGAATGTTCACTAACAGTACTAAAAGTCAGAGAAGAATATAGAATGACAAGAGCATGAGTAGTATGCTCGAGGACGATGAAAATTATTCATTCTAAAAGTGGAAGTCATAGAGAACAGACGTGCTCGCTCCTAAAAATATAATTATTTTGTGACTATAACGACACTCGGGACTTGCTGTACTGCCAGTATGCCTAATTGCAAAGAAAGTGATTTCTCTGTTCCGACATATATATATATATATATATATATATATATATATATATATATATATATATATATATATATTCTATTTTAGAAGCTATATGTCAAATTTAGTGACTCTATTATTATTATAACAACATATGTTGTTTGGTTAGTGGTGTTATTATTTACCAAAATTGCCCAAAAAACAGGATATCGATATTGATTTTATCGATTGCTTGGAAATGGAGTGAGTTATCGATATTCGGAAACAAACTCGATCTGCGCAGGCACTAGGAGCACCTACATCTAAAATTTCAAGTCTCTAGCTCTTAAAGGTTCTGAGATCCTTGCGTTCATACATACGGACGGACGGACGGACAGGCAGACGGACATGGCTACATCGACTCAGCTATTGATGCTGATCAAGAATATATACACTTCATGGGGTCGGAGATACTTTCGTCTGCCTGTTACATACATTTGGATTTTGCACAAATACAATATACCCTTATGCCAATTTTAAATGGGTTATAAAAAATGAATAAAATATATATATTTTTAAATATCTGTTCAATATTTTGTTTATCTTTTAACACTAAAGGGGTTGCGTTGACATGCCTATGCCGACTAATGTATGCTCTAACTGACCAAAGAAGATTTAAAGAGTTCAGAGCGCGTCATTAAAAATAATGCCCATCCAACTGATTTATTCTATTTAATTCGTTCACAATTATCTGAATCTTTTAAATAAGTAATATAAAAACAAAGGCTGATTGCATTTACTCAAGATATGACAATTTATGGATGCAGTCCAAGCGCTCCAGCGTTAACAACCAATAAGGCACAACCCTGGGTTAAAAAGCGCATAAACAAATGTGATGGTGACACTGCATGGCAGTCTGAATATGCATACGAGTGAAATTATTATCCACAGTTTGTCATAATTTGTCGACGAACTCATCAGCGCGAGAGAAAAGGCAGAAAAATGCTGTGCAGCAAGGCGGCCGCGACCAAAGCGCGACGACCATATATTTCAACAGCACATAAAAACAGATTAAGACACAATTAATTTGTAATTTTAATTGTTTACGAATACATTAAAATTGTCGCAATTTTCTACTTGGAAGTATATGTATACAGATCTATTTAAAAATTATATGAGCCTACAAACAATTCAATAGTCGTACAAGTACATACGAAGAGACAGTAGGTTTGCACCGTTTAAAATTTTAATTTTAGTTCTAACTAGGGGTAATAGACATTTTTTATTTACATTTAAGTACATATGCATTCACTTACGAAGTAGCTTGCTGACAAAACGATGACAGTTCTTTTCTACTTATTATGCACGATCCAAAGTTTATATTTATATATGTATATATATATAGCCCACCCCATTTTTTTTTCAACGCCCACAAACCAAAACCAGAACTGTCTCCCTGACACCCAAGCTTCTAATGTGGTGATCATAGCATGTTGAAGCTTGTAGAAAATGGAAATATGTACAGTGTGTTCCATATTTAAAAAAATCTCCGCAGCAGCTGCCAGCTGTGGGTGAAAGTGAAAACTTATGGCCCAGCCACAGCCGTTTTGCCGGAAACGCATGCAAATTAAAATAAACTGGCATGTGGCTTCATTTTAGAAGAGTTCATATCACTTGTTTTTTGTCGGTGAGGAAACGATCGCCGCAGTACATATGTTGGAACCTGCTGGTTCGGACCACATTATCATATAGCTGTCATAAGAACGATCGGTCGAAAGTTGTTCTATAGAAAACTTTGTTTATCAATATATCTTGGCCAAACTCGGCATTTATAAATTTCACTACGTTCCATTTATTAATATTATTTTATTTATATCGACCTTAACTATTTTCCCTGTGGTTCTTAGATACGGGAAAATCATTATGAGCATGGTTGGGACTGCAAGGGTATTAAATCTTTGGCGTGCCGAAGATAGCTCTTCTTTCTAAGTGTTTAATAAGTTTTGTGTTGTTCGATTTCCAAATAAATTTTCCATCTAAGTCTGGCACTATTATTGTTTGTAAGAATGTATGTAAAAATTTTACCTTCAAATATCCTATATAACATATATCAAAATTGCACACCCCCATTACTCGGTCAAATCGAATCCGATTTTCACGAAGTTTTCCTTTTTGTTCAGGGTTGCGCCTTTTGTTTAATTCAGAATATAAATCTGGCAGCATTATTCTTCGTCGATATTCCGAAATTATTTTATACATACGACGGGCAAAACCCGCTAGTATAATATTTAATTCAGAAGCCTGCATATCAAATCTTACAGACGGACAAGGCTAGATCGACTCGGTTTTTGATACTGATCAATAAGATATATATTTTATGGGGTTGGAGATGCATCCTTTTGTGACATTTTTATAGCCATTTTTAATGGGTTCAGGGTATACAAATACTTAATTGTGTACAAATCATTGTGATTTTCTACTATACTTATTACTTAAGCTGTCGAACATTTTTTTTGGCCATTGATTTAATTTTCATTTGATGCCAACTCGTAAACGACAGATGTGACTGAATTTAGAGACAACTAAGCCGCCTAGTTAGTCGCCAGAATTACATTGCCAATAATATAGGCTGCGAACAAAGTCCACTTGGTGACATTCTGAAAATCTGTTGCTCGGATCGTCGTGTATCGTTTGTTACACAAACTTTCGTACACCTTATATATGTACATTGCTCATGTATGTGTCAATGTATATACAAATTCATTAAGAATACAAACTGCACCAGTTTTCTTCTTGCCGCAAATTTTTGCTCGTCTGGCGCCAACTATTTTTTAATGCAGCATATGCGGGTATTTTCCTACTTTGAGATACCCTGTTCGAGTTTGTTTCCGATAATCGATAACTGACTCAGTTTCCAAGCAATCGATAAAAATCTATATCGATGTCCTGTTTTTTGGGCAATTTTGGTAAATAATATTAATAGAGTCACCAAACTTGACAAATAGCTTCTAAAATAGAATATATATATGCATTTAATGTTGGAAGAAAAGGGTTCAGGGTATCCCCTAGTCGGAAGCTCCCGACTAGACCCTCTTGTTTTTTCATTATTTATAATATATATTTTATTGATATTATAATTACTCCTCTAATTATACTTACTTATTATTATACCAAGGGCAAATAAATGCGTTGTAGCTTGTAATAATACACATGGGTTATTGCAGGTAAAGACACATAAATCAAGTTTCTTATAATGTTTATTTAAACTCCATCCGGTTACTTTCACACACATTGGGTCAATGACGGCTATGAGGTGCTAGGACAATTACCAATAAATAATGTTTTTAATTTTTGACAAAAAAAAAACAATTAACTTCGGGCTTATAAAATTCTGTTGCCGATCAATTCTTCTGTGAACTAGCGCAGATCGATTTATATAATGCTTATGCAGTGTTTCCGTAAACGACCTATGCAAAAACACCTGACAGGCCAACCGCATTCGACAATTAGTTTAGGCAAGACGACGCCAAGTGCCCGACGGCATATCAAGAGTGGCAGTTGTTATGCACCTTTCGATTGACACGATCTAAAGGGGACACAGGCCATCTGAGCACATCTTGCAGTTTTAAGACAACAAAAGGTGTACTAAGAAAGTATACATACAAACGCCAAGGTACAGATGTATGAGTAACAGATCGTCCAGCACGCAAATTAAGAATTCAAACCAGTTGTAGCCTCGACGACAAGTGGCTAAGGACGGGCCAATGGACCGCTATACTCGTTTTGTGGCATGTGTCAACATCAAGACGCGGCCACTGTGAACATGTGGCTCGGACTGCCGACATTTTTTGATGGTACTTTTGACCGGTGGTTGCTTAACTTGTCGTTCTGCCGACTGTTGCACATACAAAGTACTCATTTGGCGCCAAAATTTAATGCGAATGTGTGCTAAACCTTTACCTGCAGTAAGAAATGTTTTTGATTGTCATTGTAACTGTGATCTAGCTGTTTCATGTTTTATTCTGTCTACTTTTGAGGTTACCTACTGCGCTCCTGGCGCCAGCTCAAAAGTCTTGTGACTAATCACTGCAAAATATAAAGAGAACTATTCAACAAAAGAGAAATAGACAAATCCCATTTATGACAAGGACAATAGACAATGCCCAAAGAGCCAAAAACGAGGTAGTAAACGAACTGGAAAACAGGTACAACAAATTTACCGATAGCAGGTATATTTTCCAAGTCATGTCATGAGTAATGCTTTCTACGATACATCGTTGATTTAGGGCTTTTGATACTCAAAACTTGTTATGCCATCGATTTCAAATATACTTGATTTATGTGAATTAAAAAGGCAGAAGTACATAGTTGGTAAGGTAAATATAATATACTTATGTTTTAAAATCATATGGGTTCTAAAGAACAAAAAAAGGCCGGGACTGAGGTATCGCTTGGATCCACATACAAAAATATTTGCGTAATTTTAGGAGTCAACTTACTGGCAGTTTTAGCCCAAAGCGATCTCGTTTTTCGTATTAACAATTTACTGCTGTATTGCATCTGTTCAATTTAAAACTGTCTCGAAGGCACACAGTAGCCGATAAGCAGGGTAGAATGTTTGTCGACATGTCGTTTATGAAAAGTGCAAAAGATTTGCCTCATTTTCGCATTTCTGCTTATAAGCTTGGGGTGTTTTCCGTACTAAAAGCGTGGGAAATAACCAACTTTTGATCTTACGAAAAAGTAGTTCTACATCACCTTCACATTGCGTGCTTAGCTTTGGCGAACCAAGCTTGTGCGATACTTACCTACTGGTTGGAAATTTTTGAACAATAGCGTATATTTTGGTATCTAATTGTGTATCTGGGCGGTCGCATGCATTTGATTGCCGCTGTTACTCTGGAACTTAGCTTGGGGCTGTCACGTTGTTCAGAGGAGCTTCTGCTTGTTCCTAATATATGCATGCGACTTCACAATGAGCGTCTGATATATTTAATTAATTGATTGAGGCATGCTTTATATGCCTGTCAGACATAGGATTCATATTGCAGCTGTACCCTCAAAAAACGCTACTTGCTTAAAAACAAATTTTTCGTTTCGGTTTGTAGCTTGCATTGCCAGCCGTAAAAACCCATCTTGACTGAAACTCGAAAACCTGAGGTAAAAGTTTAACACATGTGAATAAGCGTACAAATTGAAACCGAAATTTCCCAACAATATTCTCACGCAATCAGTTCATAAACGAAGAAAAACTGTAAGGCACTGCCCCTGGCTTGTGTGCCCGTCGAAAAATCATATTTTGCGTGCATTTTGTAAGGTCGTAGGCATATGCAAGTACACTTTCTTTTCTGGTTCTGGTAACCATATGTGCCATCAGTTGTCGACTGTGCAATTTCCATGAAAAATCGCAAGAGTCAAGCTGACGCCGCCTGAAGGCCTCAAGGCACGGACATGTGTTGTTTGTCGTTCCCATCTCCGGGCATATACATAGATACATACATTTGAACGTCACACAGGGAATATACATATATATATTAAAATATGTATTGTCGCCATCCTGTCTCTACGTAAATAAGCTGTTTCGCATTCTCATACTTATTTCCCCTCATGCTGTCTTCGAGCTCGCAATTATATTCAACGAACGAAGCACTTGCGGTCACACATCTTAAATAATACTTGAGCTGTATGGTATACGATCAAAATGACAAATTGGAGACTAGCTGTCGAAACCTAAGATATTTGCTTACAACAGGATTTCGACTTGCTGACCAAGAATACATATACTTCTTTAGAGTCGAAAATGCTTCCTTCTGCTTGTTGTATTTAATTTGCCCAAAAGCATTATAAATTTGTTACCCATTTTTTATCCCACTAAAAGATGAGGTTACTTGAAACAGGATAATTGGGATGCTTTGAATCCCATCATGTATCAAGATTAATTTGATTTAAAAATTTGGACACCCCATACAACAATTTTAATGCTTAAGCATTAAGCCCCACAAAACAAACTTGAAATCGGCTTCATTTGTATTAGCGTGCAAGGCGGCTGCATCATACACGTTGCACTAGTTTAGTACAACTGAAAATGTTGCTACAACTGATTGTAACATATTTGAGCAGGTTGCACTGAGTGTGTTGTACAAGTTGTTTATGCCTTTAAACGCGTGCTATATTGGCCGCGCATAAGAATAAGAATTATTTCTCAATTTTGAAGTGCTTCTGTCGAACTATAGAAGCAGACTGACGCAGACTGTATGTGGGCAATGGCATCCAAGGCAAATTTATGAATTTAGTTTCAAGGCCTACTTGAAAAAGAAAATTATTTTTTTAATTAAAAGCATGCTTGGATGAAGAAAATGTGCGTATAATTAGTGGAGCTACAAGATTTTTTGTACGCTATTTTGTTTCGATATGAGAGTCGAGTGGGAAGAAACTTTTTTTTTAGTGAAAAAAGAGAAGGATTTAAAATATAATAAACTTCTAAAGTAAAACCATTTATAGTTAGGTAACAAAATTTCCTATTTCAGATTATTGGGATATTTGGCTTAATATTAGAGGCGAAAGATATGCCCTTATAAATCAAGCTTGAGAATATTTTCAGTGTGCAAGTGGACTGCTAGCCGAGATACTAAACAAACCCAAAATAAATTAAGGCCTATTGATAGTAAATATATACATAAATATATTCAAGCGGAGAATGGTGAAGGTAACGAGCCGTGTGGTTAAATCTTTTGCAACGAATGCATTAGGTAATTGTTTATCATTCCTTTTAGGCCATTTAAAGCGGACGTGTTTCCAGAGAGCGGACACCGAACATTGCGTTCTTTTCTGAATTTGGAAATAAAGAAAATATTCGGTCTGTGCCGGAGCTATGACGATTTTTTAGTGTTGGGTTATACTCTGTTCTGACTTCAAAACCCATACTAGAAAGCTCTTCTGTGATTGTGGAAGCTAGGATGCCACGCACCACTACTCTGAAAGACCTTTCACTCTGCATCTGGTAAGTATTATATTGACATTTTTCTTTAAAGATATTTGTTATTAATCTGTATGTATCCATAGTTTCTGAAATGATTTTGACCATTCCAGACCCACATTTTTATTTGAATTTAGTAATTGTAGAGTTATTTACCACGAACTTGGCAAGAATGTGGACGATAACCAAGGGTCATCAGCCGTTAGCGGAAGCTAAACATTATCTTAAATAGTAAGATAAACCCATACAAATGACTTTTGTTTAAACTTCGGGATGTTGCTGAAGAAATGACACGCAAGCCAGATGCTTGCCAGTCTGTTGAAGAGTTCTTAGCTGCACGTAACCTAGTGACGTCACATGTATAAGCATGTGCACATTACGATAATGATTGAAAGAATATATTTATAAATGATGTGCTGGTATAAGTGTACATAGTTGTCAATAAAATAATAATAAAAATAAAAACATACCTGGGGTTCCCAATTGAATACGTTCGGTTCCTAGCTTGCTTTAATAGCTTTACGGCCGGACATGTGGCCTGCGCACCTCACCTCCGTCTCCCACTGGTATCATCACCAACTGGTGTCTTTATTTTTAAGTACCATGTTATATAATTGAAGACGATGTAATGTGGTTGTTATAACAAAACTTTGTTTATGTCGTCAAAGTTATTGTTATAATTGGTTCACAAAGTGGGGAAAAGGTTATGTGCAATGTCCGTCTTGCTGTTTGTGTGATTCCAATTTTGTATGACACAATTTTTAAAATATTTTTTGAAATCTGTGGTGGAGCAGCACAACATTATTACATTATAACACTATTTTTGTAGGTTTCCTTACTCAAGTTGGTTAGTTTTAGGTTAATTACACATTTTTAAAGACGTTGTTTTTCCACCCAATTAAAAATAAAAGAATTAAGAACGAGAGTGAATTGGTCTAGTATGGGTGCATCATTAATATGCACCATTGAGTTTCCAACCTGAAAGCTATAAACGTTTCGCAAAAAGGTGCGCAAAAGTCATTAGAGGTGCACAATAAAGAAAATCAAAAGGAAAACAAGTGCAAATTGATTATGGAAATTCTAAGAAGTCACTTCTACCTGAATTCTAAGTTCTTAGTTGCATGACCGGGTAAAACCCGGAAAATATCAATTGGTCGGTTCGCTAGACTTGCAAACAGTCGGCAGTAATTATATTAAGCAGACTAAAAGCAATTAGCGTCTGAGACTTGGCCGAAATAATATATGTGACGACTGCGTCTGGCACAGGTCTGGTGAGAGTCGACTACCTGAGTCGACTGTTTATAGATTAAACTGCAATAGTGGATGCTTAATATAATAAATATAAAGAGACGGTAACATTTCATATATTTGCTGTTGTGCAAAAAGTAGCGTCAGTAGCGGTTAGCCCAAGTTCTAAGGTTGTATTTTGTTTTTTCTAAAAAACATAATTTTAAAATATAATAAAAATACAGCTAGGAAAAAAGATTTGTACTGTGCCTCCTCCCGAATCCATAATTTTTGCAAGTCACTGCAAGGGATGACAAGAATATGTTTTAGTAATTTTAGATGGGTTCAACAAGAAATTGATTTTTTAGGGAAGACGATTAAATTTCACAAACAACTTTTGGAAGACATGTATGGTATATCCTTGAACTTGCAGCTTGACAAAAGAAATGAGCTAAAAAGCTTTGTCGCGCCCACAGTTTAAACGGCTGTGCGGGTTGCCTCTTCTGTGGCGTCGGCGAAAGCAACAGGTAAACAGGTTAGCAGGCAGTCGAATCTTGCATACATTTACAGAAAGCCAAAGATAAAAAGCAAGAGTGCAATTCCCGAATGGCCGACTATGAGTTCACCTACAGTTGGTATATATTGGTCAAGAGGTCACACATATAATTTAGGGAAGTGTGGGGTTTTTAGAGTTATATACACATTTGAACAACTTTTAGATATCACTTACCGCATGTTTTGGTGTAGGGTATACATTTGTCATAAATTAAAAGGTATTCAGCGCGACATCAAGACTCATTCATAATGAACATCTGCCAATAACTGATTGGGTAGAACGGTTTACTAAGGGACCAAGAAACCAGAAAGAGCGTTTACGGTATTAGTGGCTCGTTCCTGAAGTTTGGTATCACGGCGGCATGATTATGTGAAACATTAATATTTTCCTAGAAATATTTGTTGGCCTTTTTGTGTACTGCCTTTATTGACCCCTCCCATGCAACTTAACTATTTTGTATACTCAGAGCCTTTAAAATTGACAAAAAATATATGGGCACTTTGTATGAAATATACAGGAGAGGGGATATCAGTTTTAACAACCGAAGTCATTTATCACTGACCGTCTGTTTTTTAAAGTTCCGTCCCACCATTTCAACATAAAGCATATATATTACTGATCTGGAGAGCTTGCTGAGACAAATATAATTTTATCTTAACTTAGTACAAACTGTTTTTATTGAACCGTCTTTAAATAGGAAATCTTTCTTTTTGTGAAGTAAGCGGAAAACATGTTGGACATGACAGTCTAGGTTAATGACGCCAATACCCACCGCGTATTTTTCATGACTACCGCAGCATCATCCCATTCGTATAACCCATGACGCATTTGCCACCAACTGCGAGTGTGTATGTCTCCATATAAAATAAAAATTGAAAGAGTTTTCCAGGCGCGCTGCGAATGAGAGCATGAAACTCACACTTATCTCCTCTGACTCAAATAGCTGCCGCGTAGGCAGTCCGTGTGGCACAGCTTCATGTAACATTGTTGGCTGATCACTGCCAACGTCATGGACAATCATAGACAAGGGCGGCTTTGTGGCTTGTGTGGAGCATCCTCAACTTCTCGACCAAAACGCAAGCGCTTTTACATGCATCTTGATAAAAAATTAAGAGTCGAGCCGCCATTGCCAGCGCCTGAGATTTATGTAAACAGCACACGGTTATACAAGCTGCTGTTGTTACGGACGTTGGCTGTGGCTGTGCTGCAAACGTTGCAAAACTGTTGCAAAGAAGTGGGGAAATGACCAATTGTGTGGAATTCCACATGGCAGCGTTAAAACTGACTGGCTATTAAGAGGCAGCATCCAAGTCGCAGCATCCACACCACGGATTCATTATAATTCACTTCACACTAAGCGCACAATGTGCCCGCATTATTGCAACGGTTGGTCGATTGAGTTAAGTTTGGGGTTGGACTAAGATTGTGAAGCTAAGGCAACAGAAATCCACACAATTCAATCTGTTTAAAGAATGCCGCCTAAAGCACACAGAATTCACTTTTCTTTTAGGCAAGCGTAGCACCGCCAAAACAACAACGCCAACTACGATGACAACCCGACAACTGGCACGAAAGTCGGTTCAGTAACAACTCGTTTGCATGTGGCATCATCATCATCAGCCACCGACCAGAGTGAGCCCAGAGGGCAGACGCTATACCAGTGCTGCCTTAATATGTCTACCAGTCCCAGACGCAGACTCCCTTCGTTATAAGCATATAGAACTGCAGATGCTGCAATTCAAAAGTCAGTTGAAAATATGACACAACTGGCGCCACCGCAGTACCAGACACAGGAGAATTTTACCCCACCTCTTCGTATATACTCGGAGAAATATAGGCGTATATGCGTTTTTGCAACTGTATATACATATATGCCAATAAATCATTATAGAAATAATAAGAATAATTATTATTAATGCCTATTTTTCAGTTTTTAGACAAAGCATTATATAAATAATAATAAGAATAATTATTATTAATGCCTATTTTTCAGTTTTTAGACAAAGCAAATGTACAAACGTATTGATTAAAAAAGGATGGTTGAATAAATCAAAAATTTATTTACCATTTGATTTTTGATTATGTATTATATTTGTTTAATTAATAATTCATAAACTTAATGCACATAAATATCTTTAAAAATATTTTTAACATGTTAGTATATAAGTTTTTCAGATACTTTTTTAATTCAAATATATTATATTTGTTTATATTATGGATTCTCCAGAACATATTATGTATATAATACCAATGGCAAAAACATTTATGCGCAACTAGGAGTAACACCGAAAATTTTGGCATAAGCTTTATTCATAAACACAACGATAAGGCGTCGCATCGAACATGTTTGACGGCGCGATGTGCATATAAAAATGTATAATCTAAGAACATATACATTTATAAAAGAATGACGCGTGACGCTTTAGTTCACGGAAAAATTCAAAAAGCTGACTCCATTCAATCGTCATGGTCAATGAATTGACCCAAACATACAGGCAACCGAACAGTAAGGTTTATAATTTTACCTATGCGCCTAAAAACAACATGTACTAAAAATACATTGATGTGCGGATTGTTTCAATTGTGCTAGTACACGTACAAACATTTAGACATAAACTGAGTTATTATATCCTGAACCCATTAAAAATGGGTATAAGGGTATATTGTATTTGTGCGAAATCCAAATGTATGTAACAGGCAGAAGGAAGCATCTCCGACCCCATAAATTATATATATTTTTGATCAGCATCAATAGCCGAGTCAAGAGACTTAAAATTACAGATTTAGATGCTCCTAGTTCCCGCACAGATCGAGTTTGTTTCCGATAATCGATAACTTACTCCGTTTCCAAGCAATCGATAAAAATCGATATCGATATCCTGTTTTTGGGCAATTTTGGTAAATGATAAGAGCTAGAGTCACCAAACTTGACATATAGCTTCTAAAATAGAATATATATATGCATTTGATGTTGGAAGAAGAGGGTTCAGGGTATACCATAGTCGGGAGCTTCCGACTAGAACCTCTTACTTGTTTTTTTTTTTTATTTATGTGGAAAACGGGCGAGGGGTTTTAATAATGAAATATACTTATGTATACTGAAAAATACATACACGAAACTATCGGTAAGAAATGTTATTTTTTCATCCGATTTGTGCTGAATTGTTTGACACGCACTCACCTCCAATTGCAACGCAACCGGCTCGACCGCGTGTTGCTTTTAGTATGAAGCGAGCGTGTTTGGTCCTCTCAAAACGAAATATACTGCCGTGGTTATTAGACGTGCTGTGTTTCTGACTGTCGGACGTGTTCTGAAAGAATGCGGTATAAAGTGAAAATAATTAAAAAAGTGTGTAATATAATATTGTAAATGTATTTACGTCTTCAAAAATTGTAGTGTTGTAAATTTTTATTTTGAATTTATTCACAACCAAATACTGCATTAATTAATATTAGATATCTTTTATTGTATTGATATCTTATCAGTTTTTGTGTTACCATAAAAGAAAATAGTTGACAAAAAATAATTTTCAAACTCGCTCTGTGGATTACGCGTTCCCCGAAACATATATTGAGAAATTCGCTTATTTTAAATATGGACCTCGTCACAACAGACAAGCTATACATGCGACTAAACACTGCGGAGCTGGAAGCCATCATCAAAAAAGGTACGATACGGATGATTCTGCATATATCCGTTTTATGATCAGAGAATAACAAAGCCAATACCACCTGTTGCCTAAACTAAATATTAAAAGGGACATATGTTAAATTTATTTTTACCTAAACTTAAACTAATTGATAGATTCTTTCTTGTCCAACTATTTCATATAAACTTGTTTACTTGGCGATAAATTATTTATTTATAAATTGTATGGGGTGTTGATTTTAGAAAATAATTGTAAAATAATTTAAGTTGATATATTTAAACTGCTTTCGTATGTCATTGGTCGTTTTATACTTAAAGAAACCCGTTCTTGGATAAGCGATTTTCTAAAAAGAGGCTTTTGTGAATATTTTAGATTCATGTTCCTTAGCGATTATTCTCTGCGTTTGGTCAGTCAGTCAGGATAAACAGTTTTACATATTATGTAAAAGATTGTTTTTTAACTGGTAAAAATGCAAATACAGCAAATACTAAATTTAATCTTCGTTTAATGCGCAAATCGATTATATCATATGTCATATCATATGCGCAATCCTCAATAGAAAATACAATATAAATGTATTACAATAGTCTTATAAAAAAAACCGTTTAAAAACATGGTTAACATGGTTAATGCAAATTTACAAAATAAACCTTAAAACAGCTGCTAAAACATTGTTTCAATCCACATGTCATTTAAATTTGCCACGTATAACTTATGGCCAGCTAATAACTCTCGCAAAAAATGGAAAAATATCGCGTGGTAAGCGGATACCATCAATTTAACTGTAAACTGTAAATATTTTAATTTACAATATATAAGTCACTCTCTAGTTATAATGAGAGAGTTGAAGGTTCCTAATGCGTCCCCTTCTCATAGTTTGATAACAATATAAAAGGGTATTATTTAAACATCTACTTAGGAGCGTAACTAATTTATAAAGCATTGCCTTTTTTTCTTTAAGTTAGAAAATTGAGGAGTGCCAACATTTTTATTGAGGAATTGAATTGCAGAATTTATTTGAGGTAATTCAAATATCGAACCAACTATAATTTAAGCTTTTTTTAACCACTGCTTACAAGGCGAATCATCGCTCTTAACTATTTTTTATTATTATTTTTGCATTTACATTGTTTACTAGTACCAGTCGGACGAGCATCATTGTAACAGCCGGCGCCAACTAAAAGGGCGCCGTTTGGCAATCACATTTAGTTTTGGGGTTCAGATGTCTGTCGCCTCTTGAAATTCCCCTCAACTCACTCAGCCTTTGACTGCAGCGTATCAGAGTGGAGTAGACTGTCGGCTATTAGCGTCGTTATGCGTCGCGACAATGCAGCTATGGTAGCTTCTCAGATACATTTAAAAGATTTTCTGCAATTAATCCGCTTTGACCTGCAGTTACTAGCAGTAGCTTAGGTAAAACATTTCTCTATATGCTAGCCTATGAGTCTTTTTGGTATATTATATATCTATTATCGCTTACGCTGACAATTGACATTTTATCGTTACAAATAATTAAACAATATTAGAGTAGGAAAACATCTGCTGTCTGCTGTATTTATTTCTTTATTTACAGCATACAATTGTTTTAGAATATTAAGTCAACTTATGTTGAACTAAAGCCATTTGAAATAGTTTAAGAAATATTATTATATTACATATGAAATGTTCTCGAACTAAGATATTTAGTTCAAGTACACTTTTATTTTGAGTACGTTTAAAAATAATTTATTTACCTTAACATTCAGTTTTAATTTGTTTCATTCATAAAAATGACTCGTCATGTTACTATAACAAACACAAGATCATATTTTAATGCGCCCATACTTCGCTCGTAGACCTCTAGTGATAACCACATGCTTCCCACACACGGAACCCTGACAGCAGTCCAACAAGCAGTCAGTGTAGGGCAGACTTTGTCTGATAACCTTTAGCTGACATTTACTATGAGCACAGAGTTTTTGCAGTCTCATATACTTTAAATGTGTCTTTTTAAAATAGGTTTCACTTGCAGTAATTCATTCTTAGAAATAAAGGCCAATTATATCCGAACGAATGAAATTTATTTCGCAAAAATCACAAGGCAAGGTTTGTAGCTGAAATGCGCAACATTTTCATATAAAACAAGTAAGAGGTTCTAGTCGGGAGCTCCCGACTAGGGGATACCCTGAACTCTCTTCTTCCAACATCAAATATATATATACATTCTATTTTAGAAGCTATATGTCAAGTTTGGTGACTCTAGCTCTTATTATTTACCAAAATTGCCCAAAAAACAGGATATCGATATCGATTTTTATCGATTACTTAGAAACGGAGTAAGTTGTCGATTATCGGAAACAAACTCGATCTGCGCGGGCCCTAGGAGCACCTACATCTAAAATTTCTTTCTAGTTTCTAGCTCTTATAGGTTCTGAGATCCTTGAGTTCATACATACGGACGGACGGACGGACAGACTGACATGGCTACATCGACTCGGCTATTGATGCTGATCAAGAATATATATACTTCATGGGGTCGGAGAAGCTTCCATCTGCCTGTTACATACATTTGGATTTTGCACAAATACAATATACCCTTATACCCATTTTTAATGGGTTCAGGGTATAACAACTTAATATAATATAATGTGAAAGAATATGATAAAATGGTATATTACGTTTTCTCCTAACTTTTAGAAAATCAACAATCAAATATAAAACACAAATTAGATCGCACACAACTTAAGTCATTTTTTATAAACAGATTATATAATTATATGCACATAAAACAAAGACGATGAAATGATTTTTCTTTATCTTACAGATTCAAAATTGGCTAGCAATCCTTTTTAAAAATATTATTCTATGCCAATATTTCTCTTGATGCGATGTCCAATATTACACTAAACACAGGTGTTTTTGACATAGATGTCGACGTTGAGCTTAACATTTGTTTATCTAAGTACAAAATACATGCATACGTATAGGGTACGTGTATGTATGTACTTATTTAGCTACTGTTATTTGTACAGCTTGTCTCTGCAGTTACTTTGAATTCGCTCTGCCGTTTTCTGGTCTAAAATTAGCTAAGATAGCAAAATAATATGGTTATAAATAGTTGAGTCAACATGCAAAAAAAAAACTAAATAAAAAAAAAAACACAGTCACATGTGTCTGTGCGTGCGGCTGCTTTAGTAGAAATACAGTGTATGAGTGTGAAAATGTGAAGCTTAATAATCTATGAAACGCAATGTATGTATGTATGCATTTTAACAATGTATCTTTGGTTCACTAGCTCATTATTTTTAAGCTCGAATAGCCTCTTTGTAAAGTTTATTGAGGTTCCAGGACTCGCTTGTAAAAATCTAAGCTATCTCCGGCGACAGTAATTAATAGGCGAACTGAAGTGAGTGCTTCTGAATTTGGACTGCGCTTTTCTTCCCAAGAAAGGCGGTAAACTGTGTCTAAAATTTTTAAAGTAAATTGTGGAGGTCAGTGGGAGACAGACCGAATGAACTGGAGAAAACTGGTTTATTTTCGTTTGCGATGAATAACTTGAATTTGAAAATTTTAAGCTGTATTTATTTTTACTCGCTTGTCCGACTGACTGAAATATGACACAGTTGCTTGCGTTTTCGGAATTTGCCAATTAAACAAAGACAGGCAAGCATATTTATAAGAGATTGCATTGAAATATGTTTGCTCGAAAAATATAACATAAACAGTAACTACTTAATCTCCAAATATAAACCAGAAAACTGGTGACTTTTTTTATTTAAAATATTTATATACACATAAGAACGTCGCGATCCAATACCAGAATCTACTGAATATTGTGTCATCAGCGCTTATTAAAATTGGAAAATAGATATCTTGTATATTGACAGGAAGTGCCTTTAAGCAAATGGATCTAAAGAGAAAATGTAATATCCTCTTAGTTTTGCCAAGAGCATACTTATGTAAATAAAATCAACTTAAATTACACCCTTTTTATGCCCATGCAGTAGGTATATAATCCTCTCAGGATTTTGATAAAAATATCTAAGCTACATATATTATGAAGAGAAATGGTAAAGAATTTAAGTGCCTACTATGAATAAAATTATAGATTTCGTTGTCTTGTTTACTTTTAGATTCACCCAGTTCCAACGACCGCGACGCTGGCTTTTGTTCCGCTAGTTCAGAAAGCGAAGGCGGTGATGACTTAGCGCTAGAACATACCCTGCAACGTGCCAGATCTCTTGTTGGATCGACGGATGAATATGGCTCAGTCAAAGAAGGTTCCGCTTTGCTGGTCCGCAATAAACGCAAGAGTTTGGAGCCATCGAAAGTCGTGGAGCCAGCCTTGGCATCAACTAATTTTGCCTCGTCTTTAGCGTCGGGTCCGCCTAAAAAGCGAATACGTTATTCATCTTCAGCTGACTCCGCGGTTATGTTGACGCCACCATCTCTCCTTTCACCGCCTCAAACCAGCCATACCAATTTATCTTCTGCTCACGCGTGTAACCCTAGTCAACTGCTGCCACGTGATATAATGCCAAATCCTGCGCACATTTTCGTGCGTCATCCCGGTCTTACTACACTTCATCGCGCATTCCCCCTCACAACGCAACCAGAACAACAGGAACCTTTAGCATTGATTGCAAGAAAGCCGCAATCCGATAACGTTGAAACCAGTGTACAGCAGGAAAGTCCCAATCTCCAGTTTGAAAAGAAAACCTTGACCCATAAAAAATTACACGATGCATGCAACGAAACTTCTCTAGAACAAAATATTGAGGGCATATGCAAAGCTGATCACAGTGATTCCCTCTCGAGACCGCAGCAACGGAACTATAAAAATATGACACGCGAGCGAAGAATTGAGGCAAACGCTCGTGAACGAACTCGCGTTCATACAATTTCCGCCGCCTATGAAACATTACGCCACGCTGTTCCGGCATATGCTAGCTCCCAAAAACTTTCAAAGCTATCGGTATTGCGTGTAGCCTGTTCCTACATACTCACGTTAAGTCGTATGGCTGGCAAAGACTATAGCTCTGATCGATCCGAGCCGACCATTGCTGAGTGTATCGAGGCTATCACTTCAACTATTCAAACAGAAGGAAAGGTAAAACGGAAGAAAGACGAGTAAAGTGGCTTAATTTTAAACTGTGGAAAGACTTTAATGTAAGTTAGGAATATTTTGAGAATTTTTTAAGTGTCATGCTAAACGTTCCTATGCCGGAAACTAAGTCCATATGCGGCATAACACAATATTAAATTGAAGTCACATTTAACCAAAACAGCTTTACAAATTTTTTAAGCTAGATTTATAACAATAACAAAAATGTAGCGCTCTGGGGTGATTTTCACGATTGCTCATATATATAACACATCATAATAAAATGATATTTGTAGAATATAAAACCAGCTATGTGATCCTATTTTAAACTAGCTTCTAATCTTAAAGTCTAATGTAATTAAGGCCAAATCATGTTCCGTAGTACAAACTGTAAATAACAATATATTCAAATGTTTTAAAAAGACAATAATTGTAATCAGTCGAAATGAGAAAAATCTATGACAATAATTTTGCACTTGTCAAAAAAAATATTGTACAATTGTACGAAATATTTTGACTTCAAGCATGCGAGAAATAAACATTTAATATTAATATATAAAAAATGTGCACGTCAAACAACAAAAGTTTAAATTTTATTGAATATATATTTTGACTTGTATTTATATTAGAGCAGAGAAGAAATCAAACTGTATGTTGCATAAGGGAGACAATATGGTATTTTATTCCTGTGTAAAAAACAATATGCATTACCGATAATCTCATTTTATATATGTTTTAAGTGCCATAAAAGCAGAAAGCTGAAATACAAAATACTGAATACAAAATTAAATATCATCTGAAATATGTGTTTGTATGTGGTTGGGACTGACCCATTACAAACTTTAGTGCGAGCGCACCCAAAAAATTTGATTCAAACTTCGATAGACATGTAGGGGTTATATATTTTTATATACTTATTAATCTTATCAGACCGCAACATGATGGAATAACAGAAGAGAACGGGAAAGAGAGCTTTTAGGCAACAGGTGCGCCCAGAACGGTAAACGGTCGGTTCATCTGCACCAAGTTCTCGTAAGTTGTTTTGGGACACTCGAACTAGCCAGCGACCCCTTATCATTAACAAAAGTCCTACATATTTATATTTTTACCTTATCTATTAGCCAAGCACAAGGTGTTACGATATCGCACTGGTGTAGTTGGTGCATGTGCACTTATCGAACAACAATCATTAAAGAGATGCAGTTTATCTTTCTTAAATATCCATCTACTTGACCTAGTGTGCAATAGCCGGTTTAAATTACATCAGCTTTAGAGCAGGTTTACTAGAGCAGGCAGGCGGTTTGTCCAATTTCCGCAAACGTTGTTTTATATTCACTTTCATTTAACACTATCATTGTAGTTTTAAAAACTAAGGCTTAGATTGATATATTTTATAATTTTATACTTTCGACAGCTTTTTATAGCATAAAATACATTGCTATCAAGTCAAAAGTGTGAAAATACACGAAATATCGTAGTTTAAAAATGCTATATAAATTATAGTCAACATTCGACATAATTAAAGAATATTTAGAATGTAAAATTCAAAAGCATAGGAAATAGTTTGCACAAAGCAATATTCTATTGTGCAGTTTTGTACCTTCATAAATGACTTCTATAATCATTTCTTTAAAGAGATATGGAAGAATTCGGTTGCAACCAATTGCTTTATACTGAGTTCACAATGTAGAAGCTGCATAAAATGAGTATAAATAGCCTTTACAGTTATTGGGCTGGTAACGATAAGGCAGTAGCTGTGATAATTCTTGGTTCATACTTGGTTTATAAATGGCATTGGTTCTATTTAGGTTTGGGCTTATTCTTTTGCTAACTCCCTTGTGAAAGCCTTGCTTTGAAAAACTAAGATTCATACAATAGTTCCGCTCTGAATATTTTCACTTTGAGGGAATACATTATTGTATATAAAAATGTAGCATACTAATTTAGTTAGTTCGCTCTAACTGTTTTATATATAGAGTAGTGTTATTAGATAGATAGATAGCGGGCATATTATTTTTAATTTTTGGGGAGCAATATTGTTTCTATATAGCGGGATTTAATCTTGAGAATATTGCTTATCTTTGAATATCTATTTTTAAACAGAGCGTCTTATTTTACAACAGTTGTCATTTGCTGCTAAGCTTTATACTTTATTTGAATAAAGTATATTTTATATTTTTAACATAAGCTTTAGCTGATGTAATTGTTGTGTATGATTGCGGGGCCATGGGCGATGCCTGTTTTTGAATAAATAAATTGCTAACTATTAATTAATACTTGTAGAAAGAATTACAAAGGCTTACATACTGCGCAAAAATACAAAATCAAATAATCAAATAATTAGTAGACTTAAAACTTTCAATGATATATGAGTGTATAGATAGATAGTATGTATAGAGTGAAACAGAGTTTATATATTTTATAAAAATGGTTAAAAAGAATATTCAATATGTTATTTTATAAAATATATAAGCATATATGTATGGAAAATTTCTCAAAAGAAACAAAAACACGAAGTTAACTAGTTCCATGTCCCCAGATCCACAACGTACCTTTGTTTTTGCTTGCATTCATTGATGTACCATTTTTAAGAATCTTCTACATTAAGCATCGGTCACTTCAGATCTGTGTTTCATTTCAATCTACCAAGCTTCAAACAGTGTTCCAAATACTTGCATGTACTACACTGTTGAAATACGCTTAAATTTATTTAAAAGAAAATATAAAAAAATAAAGTTTTAATTGTAGCAGTCACCAAAAGCCATCAAGATGAATGAAACAAATCTTGAATTTAAAATGCTTACAAACTAATTTATATTCTGTCAGCGCCACGAGTGAAGAGAACAGCCTGACCGGCTGAGAGAGTTCACTGAATAAAGCAAAAGTGTGCATTAAACCAATGCATCCACACGCCGTTTCTTACCTATATTAAAATTTAAACCACCTTCATACTCGAACAAACTCTTTTCTTGCAATCGACAGAGTTCATTTTTTTTAAAGCCTGCAAACTTTATACATTTTCACGGTGATTCTTATGTTATCTAAAAAAATTAGCATTTGTATAAACAACTGAAACAAAAAATGACAGGTCGTTAGATCACATGTTGCGGTCGCGATGCGAAGTGGGTTTAGCAGTAGAGAATCGAGATGATTTTGCACAAATATAAAGCAAATATTGCCTAAAAATAGTTATATCAATGCTTGCGGTAATTTTAAGCGACTAAAAGAGGAAGAGAGTGTATCACTCGATTTTTGAGTCTACAGCGCGTCTCATCGCCTGTAGAAGTACGGGGGCGGATTCATCATGGTGATGCCATGCGGACAATGAGCGTGAGTTTTCAGTTAACGTAACTTCTTGTTCATACGAAAAAAATTAAAATAACTCGTAGTTGAATACAAATAGTGCTATAAAACCTTACTAATTTCTTTTATTATCATCAAGCTAAGCTTCAAACTATGTGAATTTTGTATAAAAGCAAGCTATCTGTAACATGAATGGTTAGAAAGGTGGTCTTTGTGATAGTTTTTTTCACTCTTCAGATTTGAAAGGTCAAATTAATTTAAAAAGTAAAGTTGTTTTTATAGCGCCTTCCTAATAGCATAGCATGAAAACAAAATAAATTGCAGAAGAATTCTTACGCCTAAAGCATACGAACATTTGAATGTTCAACGTTTACATATGTATGCATATAGCCATGTGTATGCATGTGTATGGTGGCCCAACAGCTGGTGTCGCTTAGTTAAAAACAACGCAAAAGCAAATTATTTGCATACTGACGCTAAATTGCACGCCAAGTCGACACAGCCTGGGCAGGGGCTAGACAGCGGTGGGGATAGAGTCGGCTTGTGCATCGGAACGCACGAACCATTGGCGCCCGCGAGCAATGCACAAGTGACATTCTTAAAATAAACCAAATGCGAATGATCTTGCAGCGCGATTCGGACTGGCATCTACGCTATATCTTCAATATCTATAATGCATTGGGCACATTATTAAATGAATCTGTTGTATGGTTTGGATTTTAGAAGATTTCAGTTAAAGATATTTTTTATGTGTTGTTATATGTTTTAAGCTAGATGCTTTTTTTTTACTTTTTTACTTTGATTTAAAGTTTTATTTAATTTTCTTTATTTACTATTCATTCTTACTATTTTATTATACCCCTTTTAATCAGTGCTGGGTACAAGACGGCCTGAGGCAGAATAAAAAAGTCGTTGCGTTGCAATTTTTGACCAAGCGATCCTATACGAAAAAAACGACATCTTTAGCTATTTTTTTAGAAAATCCCAAATTTATGATCACAATGCTATTCCATCTCACCTGCCACTGTATCTATTGGGGAATTTGAGAGTATTTAAAGCAGCCCTTACTCAAATGAAACAAATAATAAAGTTTTGTAAAGTGCCAAGTGGAACCGAACTGCAATCGAAATTACGTCATGAGGCAACCACAGTACATGAACCCCGCTTTGTGCTTAATTCTCACAAACTTGTCTGCAATCTTCTTGCACCGCCTTCTTGGACTTGTTGCGTTTTTTCCGTTTGTGACTGACCTAGCAGTCAGGAACTCAATTTGAGATTTGTGTAAAAAGGAGGGGAGCATGCGCGCAGACACAAACCAGATGTGGCCTTGACGACAGATATCTTGACTATGCCAGAATGTTTTGCTACCCATTAATATGTTAATGATGGTTGGCGCTAATATTAAACTGCACAGTAACAGCTGAACTCAAAATACTTAAATATATATACCATTTCTTCGATTTGAACTTTTGAAGGAGCGTGTTTATTGTTCGACATATAAAAGTTGTGCGGTCTATATAAATACTAATATGCGTCCTGATCGTCGCACGATTGACTTAGGTAAACACAAGGAATTAATAGTCATAGGTCAACGAGAGTAACACGAAGTCACTGGTGCCTCTTCAGTTATATCACTAACCCCGTGCTGACAAGCTTGCGAATTTGCTAGTCATCAATTTTGCCCAATAGCCAGCGCCTGACCAAAACCGCGTCGGGACTACTACTTGTGCGAGAGAAACACCTGGTTGCCCCGGCAACCAGTTGAAAAATGTACCTGTACCACGCAGGTAAATGCACAATACCGGAGCATTCAATCGGTGCGTGGATTAAGATTCCACCCACATCGTTCATACTTCTGCCCTTATTGCATAACCAACGAGTATTGTTGAGGCGAGCCTAGAGATGCCTATCAGCGCCCCATAATTTACACGTTTACGCTGTTGCCAGATGTGCCCAGTTGCTTCTGGCTGGTGCAAATGGCATCCTAGTCGCAGCTGAGAAGACATGCACAGTCAATGGGCGCCTAGTTCGAGTGTGTCCACGCAACATGCCACAGCTTAATCCTGATCTTCGGTGTTTTCTCTTCTACTTGGCACTTGGAAAAAAAATATAGCATGTGAGGCT